ATAGCGTCTCTCTTAAAAATTACATAAAAATTTATTTTAAAATTACATTTTTAAAAAACTTAATTTTATTTTTATAAATATATAATAAATAACTCAGTTTATTATTTTTATTTTACATTTCTATTTTTTTTTTTTAGAGGGTGTCGCTATGGGCTACATCATTTTTGTTAGTCCATCAACTGTGTTGGCCCAGCCTATAGCGACACTGATGTGGCTCATTCCAGCCCAACCAAGTCCAAAAAAAAAAATCCACGTGTCAATTGTGTCGCTATGGCCCATAGCGACACCGTAAAAAATAGCTCCAAAGGTGTAATATGTTTCAAAACAGCCCCATTTTATAGTTTCTAAAACTGTACCAAAATGGTCGTTTAGCCCGTGCTCTAAGACTATCATTGCAATTTAATTTCACCCGTCATTATTGCAACGGACGCACTTCCTGTGGTGCAAATGATAAAGCTGATCCTTCAACTGATAATTTGAATTACTCCGTACTTCTCACATACTGCAAGGAAGTATGGCCAGTGCAACAGACATAATGGAAAAGGGAATCTTTTGTCTGCTCGACTAAATTTAGTTTATTGTCGACAAGAAGCCTGTTTTCTTTTCTTATGTGGCAGCTATGTACTTCTTGGATGACTGGTCAATCTTTTACAGTTTTCCTTTCAAACAAAAAGTAGAAAAGTAGTATTTCAAATAAGGCAATTCTGTCTTGTTTTAGCGTAGAAGTTCTTCTAATTTTTCATGTTTTGTGTAGATATACTGACATGCACTTGAAATTTCTCCAAACTAAAGCACCGGTGCAAATACTCCTAGTCATGCAGAAAACCTGGTTGGCGTCAATGGCATCTTTAACAACTACATTAAGGATCATTGTGAAATATATGCTACTTAAATTTACCAAGTGACTCCGTCCGAAAGTTCCAAATGGAGTGACACATGAATGCAAAAATTTCATGACTCAACCATCCGAGTTTTCAAACTTCAAGGAGAAAATCTGCAAAACTGCTTCAACTGCAGAGACGTTCCAACTCTCTACGTGTCTAACAATCTGTCAAACAAAAAATTACGAACTCTAGTTAACATGTATCTCAAATCACATCAATAAGTGCAGAGGAATACAGCAGAAAGAAAAGGATGCATTCAGATTCCGACTTTGTAATCTTCATTTAATTCATAAATTGTGCTTCCGTCAATAGAAATCAGAGGCCTCCAAGGAAGCTTTAAGTTGGTCCTGCATATCAGACCCCCCAAAAGTAAATCAACAAGAATTGTAACTTGTAAGTGATGAAAACATGGAATGGAAACCAGGCATGTAGCTTCAAATATCGTTTTAGGCTTTTTTCCTGACTAATAACTATACCTAATTTCAGTACATTGTGGTGCAGCAACTCTATAGGGATCCTTTTAGTGCCAAACTATTTGTTTGTGTTAAAGGGTAGAAGGATGCCAAAAACAGAAATTTATGTATATTCAGGAACATCTCTGCATTATTTCTACAGTGGAATTACACCATTTTGCTTTAAGAAGAATCTTATCATTCTTTGAAGTTTGAACAATGTGGCAAGTGGATTGCCGGTAGAGATGCATATATGGCAATCACATGTTCATCTTAAAATATTTAACCCAAGATTGAGGGAGATATGAAATAACAGGTACTACTGAAATTAGATTGACTCTTATGTTCAGGTTGTACGGCACTTAAGCTAAGTTAGCATTGATTATACATGGCAAGATTGACTCTTATGTTCAGTTGCTCAGTTTTTTTGGCAACTCCATAACTGAAAACAGAGTGAATATAAAAAACAAATATAGACGTTACATTAATGCACATAAGTAGGGCATAAGCACCTTAGTTTCCAAGATGCCAGCACAAAGTTTGTGTCAGAATCAATATCCTGCATTATGAATTTATACCATGAGCAAAGCATGAAGCTGTATCTTCTAAGTAAACAGTGTAGCTCAAGAGGCTAATGTACTTTCAGGCTTTAAAGAAAGATCCGGCAATAAGGTGTTCAGTATTTATATTGAAGGAGTCTGAGAGTTATAAATTATAATATCAGGAGTTTTATTTTGCCGAGCAAGAGAATGTAGGAACATAACACAGAGGAAGATGAGCACATATAATCATTAGAGAGAAACATATCTAAAATGGAATTACTTAAACAGGTAAGTGAAAGTGGATCAAAATTTCAATGGTCAAGGTTCTCAGTCATTCAAAGTTTCAGGTCAAATAATAGCAGACACTGAGACTACAAAAACTAATAATTTTCTTCGCATGGAACTTGGTTTAACACAATTCATTTTACATCTCTAAAAGTTGATCATTTACTCCATATAACCATATGGATTATCCGAAGTCCAAACACAAAAGAACCACCCTATGACAATAGTCTGATGCTACAATACAGAGTCTCTTGCAGGTACCATTTTCTAGTTTTACGCCAGGCTAGTAAAAAATGTTAGTTTACGGAGAATATGTACCTTGTCAATCTTTTGTAGTATAATTGACGCAGAGTCAAAGAAGGGAACAAGCAATTTCAAGTTGCGGGCGTATAACTCCCTACCTGTATGACCATGCATCATAGCTTCAGTTGATTGTACATTTTCAAATTTTAAAGTAGTAATGTTTTCTTTTTCCTTTTCCGTGACAGCAATGAGTAAGTTACTAATGAAGTTGGTGATGAAGAGTAAGCAGAAGAGAAGCCCAAGAGGAAGAGGAAGAGTAGCATACAAGTTATTATAGGTAAAAGGAGTGAATTGTTACCACGGAATTTAATAGTTGGATCTTCAAAGATACAGTTGTCGGCATAAATTGAAGAAGTGAAGTTCCCTAGGTGAGAAATTCATCCATCAATTTTAGCGGTATAATTGATTGGTGCAAGCATAATCATGCTAAGATTAAAAGGGTAGGTACCAGTTACGAAATAAGCGTTGTCGTAATCAGACTTGATGATCCTTAAAACATCATCAACGGTTGAAGGTGGGAATTCATCAAGGCTGCATATAAATAAGTGGGGTTGAGACTCCCAAGAGAGCAAGAGCAACTAATAGTAATCCATACGTTGATGATGAGATGAGTAAAGAAGCTAGGCATGGTGACCTTGTGGTGGTTTGATTGGAAGAAGGAGAGAAAAGCCTCAAGAGCTCGGTGACTCCGGTCACCGCAATTTTCAATATCTGGGGGGTTTCACTTTCATTTTCTCTGTTCAAACTTGCATAAGTCTTCTTCCTCATATTGGGTTTTTTAGCTTTTGAGCATCTTTGGACAGCATGACTCCTTCCAAACTGCAACAGCAACCTCACGAGATCAATCAGAGAAGCATGCAACAACTACTTTAGACTACAGATATGTATAGTTTAATTAGATTGTTAGCATGTGGTACCTGGTTGTGTAAAGATTGTAGTGGAGGTGTTCCACTAAAGCACCATATTTTTGCCATTATTTCCTACGACGCCTCATTTACACTATACTAAGGTTTTCAGTTGCTTCTGTTGGACTACCAACATATACGTTCGCTCAATTATTTGTGTGGCCAAGCTTCGCTCATTCTCTACGGGACTCACGTGCTCCTTACATCAAAATGCACCCACTTTTCAGCACCATTTCTCTATCTTTATGTTTGTTTTATGAGTTTAATTATCTAATACAATTTTTCTTTTATGGAATATCTGTGCAAACATAGTCTACATAAATATAGAAGGCAAATTTTTTTCATTTATAATGGTATTATCTTTTTCGAAAAACAAATTTGCTTTCAGTGAAAATTATTTGTAGTCTATAAAAAAAAACATAGCGTACTTGATAAAGGTAAAAAATACAATTAAATTTAAATACATGATACGTTTAACAAAATATTTAAGGGAATTATAAACTAAAAAAACTTGAAATGAGAACTTATTTTAAGGTTTTATAGTTTATTTCTATAAACTAAACTAATTAGCTTATAACTTATTTATTTATTTTTAAGAGATTTGGATTATATTTAATAAATTAACTTGTATTCATCGTAAAACTACCAGTCTACCTGTAAGGGTATATCAAATTCCAGCCACTTTGCACCCTCCACAAAAGGCAAGTCGAAAATTTTTTTTTTTTTTTTTTTTTTTTTTTTGCAAAAAACGATATTGACAATTGAATGAACTGCATTAGAACAAAAATTGTACCGCAACTTAATTTTCTTGTAAACAGCACACAGATTTACATTATAGCGAAAATAAATAGATATACTCTTTATTTTAATTAAATTATTAATATATATTTTAAAAAGATAGTTAAATTTACTGATAATTATTTTTTTACATTTATATTATATATATATATATATGATGACTAATTTTTATTTTTTTAAAAACAATTATCTCACTAACATAGGGTCTTAGATTTACCGCTGCTTGTGCAACGATCAATTCCTAGATCATTACCTCAAATTATTTTAATGCTATTTCGATTCAAAAGAAAATAGCAGAATAAGGAATGTCTATCATCAGGCCGACCATTCAACTCTAGAATAAGACTACTAACAAATATTTATCATCAGGTTTTACAAAATAAAAAGACCACTTATATTAAAATTTAAAAAATAATAAAATAAAATAAAAAAACTCCTTGCCGCAAAAGAACTTAACATATATCTTTCTTATTTAAAGGAAAAAAATTATATCAATTTACTTTAATCCATACTTATGATTGGGCCGGACATGTGTGAATGGCTGGATAGGAATATCAATTTATAAACACCGGAAATTATGAGAGCTATAAGCAACACTAGTTGCTTCGAAACAATCAAAATTCTGTAATTCCTTTTGGACTGAATATACATTGTATGTCCACATGACCGACCACCTCATGGAAATTTCTCATACTAGGCTCAGTTCATCTTTAGTGTTTGTAATTAAATCCTCAGCATCAAGCTTCTTTCGCAGTGCCACCAATCCTTCCCCTGCATTACAGATATAGGCCGAAGCTTGTCTGCCTGACAAGGTTGCACCTTCCATGCTGTCTATGTAGTCCTGAACAAATACACAACATTTCAGGTAGATGTTGGAACCACTAGAATAAGTAATTACATTCAATCAAATATGGCAGCAAGCAAGAATTTATTGGCAGTGTCATAAAAGCCACTTCACTTCCTAAAATGTTTTCATGTAGGATCTCATACACTGCAGCTATAAAGCATCTTGATAACATGCAATTTTAATGGTTGTACGTTATATGCATAGGAGAATCACAATTATAATGCCAGTCAAGAAGGTCTACCTGCTTTGTGTAAGAGCCAGCAAGAAAGAAATTCTTCACTGGTGTCTTTTGATCGGGTCTAAATGGATCTTTACCAGGTGCCTCGCGGTAAAGAGATTGACCAATTTTAACCACAGAAGACCAAGTCACTTCTAAACCTTGAGATGATGGGAATAATGCCAAAACCTAATAAAAAAAATAAAAATCAATGTAATTACAAGAGAACTGAATATCTACCATTGAGTAACAGAACCCAAAAATAGACTACAAAATGAAACCTGTGATATAATTTGTGATTGAAATAATAGAAAATACTTTGCTGATGATATCAGATAAGCCATCAAATTAGTAACATGAACAAACATACATCAAATGAACAAGTACCAATCCGACCAGTAACAGGTTTTTGTGATCCATAAACTGATCCAGTGATCCCATATTGGTATTTCACTGAAAATAATTATCATGATATGCATTCACCATTAACATATGATATGACGTTGAATCCTGAATTATCAAAAATAACTCAACACACAGAAACACACTCCAGCTACTAAAAGTATGTGCAAAAGCTTCTTGCTTTGGATGCACATTTTTCATGTCACAGTCACTAAATCAGCAGTCAAAATATGAAAAACAGAATATGAGAAATGGTTTTTTCTTTAAACCAACCTGTTTTGCTACCCTTGCAACAATTTCCTCATTTGGTAAGGGCATGTATGGATCTCCTGGTGTCAGAACACATCTGAGATATAATAACATTATGTACATAGAAGGTCAATACTAAATCAAATATTATATGCATGATGATGACCGAATTTTAATACAATGAAAAGAACTCGTTAGGCTTGGTATAGAAAATAGAACAGTAAAGCCAACACATTTACCAATATAAGATATAAGTTGCATCATTGCATGATGAATTGGTGATGCAAATCATCCAATTTCATCAATTGCATAACATATTTAGTCATGCATGATTTTAAGCATAAAGTAAACTGTTGGAAACTATAACAGTAGCTATTATAGCCATGGAAACAATAGGAATTTATGAAGCATTGGGAACATTAAGATCTTAAAAAATAGCTCAATTCTTCACTATTCTTGCAAATATAAGTTGTGTATAATTTGAAGTAAACTCATGGATGAAAGTGAAGATTTAGAGGGTTGGGATTACAAACACTTACTGGAGCAATGATCCTTGTCCCTCAATGTAATAATCTACTGGAGATGAAAGTGCAAGGTCTGCAAAGCAAGAAAAATCTGCATCGGGTGTATAGAGAAGGTTATCCAACCCTACAGCTTTGCTCAGTTGCCTGCCATTCAGATAGTAAGGGTGCATAAAGAAGTTAAACAATAATGATCAAAGGAAAATATACCATTCTTTAGTGTTGAAACAAAAGTACCCCATGTTCTAGTTTCGATATGGACTCTATAATTCAGAGAATTTACCTAGACTTTTCTAGATCCTGCAACTCTGTAACCCAACCATTGTATCTGAGTTGCACTGTGACTACAGGAACTCCAACTAATTCATATATGTTATTGAAAAACTTCTGTTCTCTCCACTCTGATGGAATCAATCTCTTGATTCCAGGGACGTCACAAGCTGGCATCATGTAAATGATAGTAAGGCACTGAAGATTGTTTGCACAATAAAGAGTAAATACAAAAATCAAGGATAAGTAAACTACTAACCGGCAACATAAGCATCAGCTTTCACAACTTTCTTGGCAGTAGCCTGAGAGAATAAAAATTGATAAGGTATTAGCCATAAATATTTTGAGAATGTCACTTGGATTCAAGCCAAGCATTTAAAGATTTCAAACAAGAAAACAGATATCACCTTTGACATAGAAAGTCCTTTAACATAAATACTCCCATCAGCAGATTTGTCATAAAGTACTTCTCTGCATCCCCACCTAAGATGGAACCTGTTCCAGCAATGAATGAGAATCTAAATAGGAAGAAATTTGGTTAGTCATGGTTGCAATATTCTTGTATCTAAAATTGTACCTGCCCCCTCTATCTGTGATGTACTTCCTGATGGGGCCACTCAGATAAACATCTGGTGAACCCTTTAGCATTCGCAAAAGGGAAGCCTCAGTCTTTGTGGCAAACAATGCAAATATGGTGAGCATGCAGCGGGCACTCATATTATCACAGTCAATAAACCCAAGGGCATAGGCAACTGGATCCCACATTTTTTGAATACTCATGCGTGTACCACCTTTGGATAAAAACCAATCTGAAAAGCTAATCTGTAAGATATGCACCCAATGGTTAGAAGAACAAGATTTGTCATTAACAAAGAAGATTGACAAACACAATCAATACAAAGCGAAACAGTAAACTTATGTTCTATGGCAGCAAGTATTGGTTTTTTTACTTTGTTTGGTATTCAAAAAACTTTCCCAATTACGTCAATTGTATCTGCATGCATGCACATGTATGCAGTGTGGATGGTATGAGCATGTGTAAGAACACACAAAAACCGAGGGCGCAAATAATCAGGAAGCATCATTTGGAGAAAAAAAAAACCCAAAAATAACAAATCCCCTTACACTATCCAAATTCCTTATGTCCCTCAGCGCACCATCTGGATCAACAAGAGCTTTGACAACTGGACTCAGTGCAAGAGCCAAGGCATTTCTAGCCTTATCATAAGTCTGTTCATAAACAATATGTAAAGTTAGGTGCAATGACAGTCCCCGTGAGGAAAATGAACAAATATACTTTTTTTGGGCATTCAAATATATTATTTTCTAGTTCTGCATAATACTGATGAATGATGACCAAGTCATGTAATCTAAACAAACATGGTTATAGAGTATGTAGTGTGATTACATTAAGCTGGTTTGTAGACAAAAATGCCCTTATCCCATGTATTGGTGCTCCAACTGGGAAGCGAAAATCTAGTTCTGTACATGAAAACCAAGTTGTGAACAAAGCCAGCTCTCACAGAAATGGAGGGAATAAATAAAATAATTAACAAAAATGAAGCAAGTTAATGCTACATAAAACATACCTCCAATTTGACCCCCTTTGTTAATAAAAGTGTGAGTGTGATCCTTCACAAGTAGATTGTTATCAGCACCCACCTAGTCCAAGCGTTGAAGAGGAACAAGTTATCAAATGGGCATATACAACGAAATCATACACAAAAAATAAAATCAATAGTACAGGTTTTATGGCCAAAAAAGAGGAAGAGGTCTAGAAGAATATGTACTATGACTGAAAGTAAAACAGCTTACCTTTTTCATCAATCGGAAGAGATTGTTATAGCAACCAAAGAAAACATGCAGTCCCATTTCAATGTGATTCCCACGTTTGTCAACAAAGGAACCAACTTTGCCCCCAATAAAAGGCCTCGACTCATATATATCCACCTGAACGAGACCAATTCAAAGAAAACATGACACAACACATCAGTTTTACCATCCTAATGCATACTATGCATTCAACACCTGAATCACAAAACTAACTAACGATCAAGGAACCACTCCCCTTTGCTTCAAAAGCAACCTTACTACATACACCGCAAAATCCAAATTCAAATTGCTACGAAATGAGTAGTTCATTCGGACAACAAGAGAGAGAAAGAGCTCAACCTCATGCCCTTGATCCAATAGTTCCACTGCAGTTGACATGCCAGCAAGCCCAGCTCCAACAATAGCCACTTTCAGCTTTGGTCCTCGATAGTGCTCAGGCTCCGGAGGAAACAACCCTTTTGGTGCTGCCATGTGAACCAACAATCATCTCCTTTCTCAAACTTACAGTTGAATAAATATTATTTAAACTTTTCAATTCTTCCAACACTCCCCTAAATGAATGTGATTACAAAGGTGAAAATTCCTACCCAATTAAATATTATAATTTAAAGTGGGATCTCCAACATAACACGTAAAAAAAAAAAAAAAAAAGTTTTAAAAAAAGAGATTTTGCTAAAAAAACATGCAACATCGAAAATGATTTGGGATTGGATACAATTAAGGGGAAAGTACTAACCGTTAACGCTCATGTCAGAAACATTAGCATCCAAGGAGCAACGAACCCGACACTTGTGGGTCCTGGTGAAACGGGGTTGATAGAAGCCAACATAGTCTCCTCGAGTTGCAGAGAGGGAAGTTGCGGAACATTGAATCAAAGAAGCCATGGTGAGAACTGAGAAGGGAAAGGAAAGCAAGAACCAAAGAAATTGGAATTAGGGGTATCCAGGTACGTAGGTTGGGTGGAGATGCTGAGAATGAAAAATTTGTCTGGTAGTTGAGGAGATAGAAGGAAACACGCAAATTGGAGGATATAAGAATTGTTAATAAATAATAGTCACTGGAATGAATGAATGAATGTTGCTTTTGCCTATTCTACTGGAAATTGGAACATGGAAAGTGTTAGTGTTTTTGCCACTTCCATTAGCTATAGATAATGGATCAACACACCTCCTTCGTACTGTCACCAATTGGTGTGGCCTCTGTTTTTTTTATCCATTTGCGGAAAAAACGGAAAAGGAAATGGTGCTTACTCTTTAATAATAATTAAATCACCCTTTTATTTTTGTTAATCTTTGAATGCTTTTTTTATTTTTTCATGAATAAAAATATTAGCTCCTTTGAATCTATATATAAATAAAAATAATTTTTTATTCAAAAATAAACAAGTTTTAATTAAATTAACTTTGTTCAATATTTTTAATCAAAAATAGTCATAAGATAATAAACTATTATCTATAATAATTATGATTAAGAATATTTTAATAAACGTAATATATATTTTTATGAAATTATGAAATTAAATATGTTTAACTATTTTTCTTAATTTATGTAAAATTAATTATTTTTATTTATATATAAGTTTAAAGAGAATATATAAAAGATAATATTTTCATAAAGTAAAAAATCAATAACATGATGAAGATCCTGTATTAAGTATTATTGCAGATTTGGTGATTCACCTTTTAAAATAATCTTTTCATGTATTATCTTTTTTCATGTAATTCTTTTCTATTCATCTCTCAAGTAATTAATTTCTATTTTTTATATTCTATTTTTAAGTGATTTAAGAGACACACATTTTTATTATTTTTTATATTATATTTTTTAATTTCTGTCTTTTATCATTTTTTGAATCTTTGTATTTGCATTACTCATCTTCATTATTCTTTATAAAAAGAAATCTAATTTCTTTCCTTTTATTTTCTACATCAAATACAATGTGCAAATCAAGGCGTTAAACTAAATGTTCCATCAATTTTTGCATGTAAAAAAATGTGTAAATATATGCGTTAAATTATTGTAATTTTTTTCCTTTTATTATAACTGGCATGTAATAAAGATTGAGATCTTTAATGATTAGTCACATAAATATGAGAGGAGAGAGGTTCATGCATTTTCTTGAAGATGTCCTTTTATTATCCATACTTGAAGACGTCATTGATATATTTTAAGTACAAATTTTGATGCGATTATAATTAAAATAAATAAATATTATTTTTAATAATTTCCAGAAAAAATTATAATAATTTGAGATGTATTTTTCATTATTATGTGTTATATTTATTTATATATAAAAAAGAAATATTGTTGATGTATTATTTTTTTTGCTCAAAATAAGATTATATAAAAAAAAAGTTATTTGTTATATATTTACTAGCAATACATTATTTATTATACATTTATTAGCAATAAACTTATTTATTATACATTTATTATAAATTAAGTTATTGATGCATTAATTTTCTCTTTAATACTCTCTTGATTTATAAGAAAAATAAATAAATTTACATATATTAAGAAATTTTTTATTTAATTTTATTGATTTCATATGAAAATAAATTTTATTTTTTAAATTTTGATTATGTTATGAGAATCACATTTTTAAAATGTTAGCATTAAATAAAATCAAGTCAGAAAGAATCTACATGTATTTAAGTTCAAAAATTTTAGATACTTTTTTACTTATATACGAGTTTAGTACTATTTCTTTTAACTCTTGCACTAAGTGTTCTAAAGTTTTTTCATAGACTAATTTGGTTTTGTTGTGAGTAATTAAAAAGTGTAATCAATAATTATTTCCATCAAAAATTGAACTAGCACATTACTTGAATGATTCCAAATTCGATTCAATATATTAATCACTTATATTCAATTCTTTAATTTTACAGTATTATCTCTAGTCTTAATTATAAACAATAAATTATTTATTTTTTAGTCCTAATTATTGGTAACAAATATCGATTTTTAAAGCTACTTAAAGATAAATTTCTTTTATACTTTTAATTAATTGTTAATTATACTTCTTATACATTCACTTATAATTAACATTAAATATAACAACCTCTTAAAATAAATGATATATTTAAAATAAAATTGTAAGTTATGACAAAATTAATTAAAACAAACAATTTAATTATTATCTTTTCTATCTTTATGAGTTATCCTACTTCTAATTAGATTTAAAAGTAACAACAATATATTTATTGTATGTAATATTGTTATTATATTTTTATTTTAAAAATATATTAAATATTATGTATAAAATTTAATAGTCATGTATTGAGATATAAAATAGCTTCACATTCTCAATTAATCACATGTCACTATTTATATTTTATATGACTTTTTAGTTATTTATTATAAAAATCAATCATTTAACATAAATGATTATTTAAATGATAGTGTAAAATCATCCTATTTAATCTTCTATGTAAGCAATGTTTTTGCTTAAGAGTATTAATTCACAATTTTGCACAACTTTCAATATGAAACATTACAGTCCTCGTTAGAAATTTTTTTAGCATTAAATCGTACTTATTTGAATTATATTTCATTAAAATTTAATAGAAAATACATATTATAGTAAATCATGAAATTATTTAATATTTTAAATAAAGTAAATATATACTGAGAAGGTTCGACTCAATTAATTGATTAAAACATGTGAGAATTAGAAAGTTCTTGGTACCATATTTGATTATCTCATATAAAAAATGAATAAAGTAAATATATTATTTTTAAAAAATTATAATATATTATAATTATGATTTTATAATTATATTAATTTTCAAATTCAAATTGGTGATAAAGGAAGAGAATAATGTGAAAATTGAGAAAACTAAAATTACATATTGAAATAAGTGAAAAAAGCTATTAAAAAAAAGGACAAGGAGGTACATGTGAAAATGAAGAAAAAAGAAAAATGTATGAAAAGAAGAAAAAAAGTGATAAATTGAAAGTTAGTAGTGTAAAATAAAAAAATTAAGAATATTTATAAAAAAAAAAATTAAATAAAGGAGATGTAATTATAATTATTATATATATATATAGCCATAGATTATGCACTTGTACAGCATAAGCCCAAAATGATCACTGTCCCCATGAGGCTGGAGGCCCAAGTGAGGCTTGAGGCCCAAGTGTTGATTGATGGACATCAGCGAGAATGACAATATACATGTGGACCTAAAACGAGAGACTAACACACACATAAATTACAATCAACTTATATGAATAAATTTAATTAGATGAATTTCTCATTCGAAAATCAAAGAATATACTTTTTTTTTTAAGTCAAGGGACAAATTCACTAGTGATGCTCATTCAAATATGAAAACTTGGCTCCATTTTTTATTTCAAACTACCATCAGGTTACAATGAAAATGCATGCAATATACTTTTGAAAAGACAAAAGTTCTTTGTCCATATTGTTTTATTTTGCTGGTTAAGTGCATGTTCTCGAACTCAATAAAAACGTGTATAATGTAAGTAACCAAAAGAACGTGTACTATGTGCAATGAATCTTACAAGAAGCCTGTAAGATAGAAAGTGTTTATATGCCATGATTTTTTATATCAAACTTATTATTGTTAGGTCATTACATAAATTTATGATTGTGAGTAGAGATCGAATATAATGGAAAAAACACTTTTAAAATCAGTCATTTTTTACTTTTAAAATCGGTTTTCTGATCGATTTTAAAAAGTGAGACTTTTAATATCGGTCGCTGACCGATGTTAAAAGTGGTTAATTTTTTTTAAAATATTTGACTTATTTTAGGAGGATCCCTAAAAAAAAAACCTGTAAATTAATAAAATATCAAACAATTCATATGTTTTTAATATACTAAATTATATACAAATGAAAAGAGTTGTAAATGTCAACCATATATGTAATCAAAGTAACTTACAAATTATGATACATCCTAAACTACAAAATGAGAAAATATAAACATAACTGGTAGTTAGCCAATGTTTCAATGAAAAATGTAGCTTATTGCTCCCTAATGGTGTTTATATCTTTTAGCAACAATGGTGATCGATCTATAAATATCTGTTAAGAAAATTTAGAACAATTAGAAGTAACTCTTAAAACATGATAAAATGGAAACTTAAAATTTAGAACAATGCAGCTGCCTCATGTGCAGTTTCCCCAATTGAGATTGGAACTTGCATGATACATATACAGAAAACATGCTTCAAAGTTGAAACGGTTTCCAGATATTATTGTAACAGGCACTCAGATCTACATTTAACATAAGCACTATGTCATGTCATGAGCAATCAACAAAAGCAAACACTTGTATGAGAGTAACCAAATTACATGTAACAAGTTTAGTACCCAATATAACATTGAACAAGTACTCGTGTAGGTTTCCTGTCAATGGGAGATTATTGGTCTCGAATTAGATAAACTTTATGGTGTGAATTATTACTTGGTAGTAGATATGAAAAAGCAAACCTTGGCAATCTGTAGTATAAGGAATGAAACCCAAACAAATACAAAAAGTCCAAATTCCTTCTAGTATACATTTTCAAGAATAGTCACCTGCAAAATCCTCCTTGTTAGATAATGAAAATCACCCTGTGCACATGAACTCACCTGAAAAATGCCTAAAACTTTAGTCTGGAACGGCCCCAGAACGGCCCGTTTTGCAAGCAGAACGACTTGTACTGCTTGCAGAACAGGCCGTTCTGCTTGTAGTACGGCCCGTTCTGCTTACAGTACAGGTCGTTTTGCTTGTAGTACAGGCTGTTCTAGGGCCGTTCCATACTCAAAATTCGTCCAGTAACAACGAAATAAGAGACATGAGACGAGAATGTTACCTTGATGTTGTATTCTTCCGAGAAAATGAGAAGCTGCACACTTCAGATGAGAGCTCGAGAGAGTAAAGAGAAAGAATATATGAACTATTGAAGCTAAAGAGTAGAGAATGGAGTTAGGGAGAGAATGGGAGTAGAGATAGTATAGATTAAGTCTCTGATGCTACTTTTAAAATCGGTTGTTCAATAACTGCTTTTAAAAGTGATACTTTTAAAATCGGCTATTGGATAACCGATTTTAAAAGTATACTTTTAAAATTGGTTGTTCAAGAGCCGATTTTAAAAGTAGCGTCAGAGACTTTTAAAATTGGTCATAACGTAACCGATTTTAAAAGTAGTGTCATTATTTACAAAATTGTCAC